CTGTGCACGCGCAGGACCTTCCGCACATGCGCAGAGCGTCAAAAACAGGATGTGATGATGGGGTGGGTGGGTGGAGCCTCCTGCCACCACCGCTACTGGTTCGCCCGAATTGCATCACTGACTCACTCACTCACTCACTCTCAGACCTAGAAAGAAAACAATGGCAAGCCACTTTGGAAATCCTATCAAAAAACTGGAGGGCCTTATCTAGACAGTCACTGGGAGTCCACACTGACATGAAGGACCAAGACAAATAATGATATTATAAAGATCATTAAAGATCTGGCTGTCCCGGCTGGCCTGGGGTTAAGATTCTAACCCCACCCGAATTGTGTGACTGTTGTGTTTTCTTTTTAATATGTTGCATTGTCTTCATGTTGGAAAATTGTTTGTCCTTCCCCCACCCCTTTTTGAACTGTGAGCCGCCCTGAGTCCCCCCAGGGAAAAGGGCGGCATACAAATAAAGGGAAACTAAACTAAACTAAACACATGCCGATGCCCATAATGTAATGCCCACCGTGCTCCCCTGCCCCCCACACATCCCTAAAGCCTGCTGGGACCAAAAATAGGGTGCGGGGGAGCACCACATCCCTCCCACCCCTGCGCATGTATTGATAGCACAAATGCCATTTGGGAAATGGATTTACTTATTAAATGTATTTCCCGCCCATCTCTCTGCAACTCTGGGTGACTTTTCATTGAACCCAGTGGCCTGAAAGGAAGCAAAGGTTGCTTACCTACAGCTCATTCCGCAGCTTTCCTACAGGTTTGTGGTCTGAAGAAAAGGCAGCTGGTTCTTTTACACCCTCCAGGACAGGGATGGCAGCCGAGTCAAGAGGAAGTTCTGATGGGCATCCCTCCACCCCCCTCACCCTTCCAACAGAGAAGTAAAATCTGGGAGCCCCATTTAACAGTAGACAATCAAGCCCTGTAACTTTATTTTATGACTGACTGGGGGTTTTTTTCTCCTTAAAAAAAAAAAAGAAAAGTAAGGAGAGGAAAGAGGAAAATGTCTCTCAAGATCTTCAGAAACCCTTCAGCACCCACCTTTATTCTTTCTCCGTTGGGCAGGTTCCTAAGCTGACTAAAATTGTCCACAAATCAAGTTTATACCAAATATGTAAACCAGTTTGAAATGGTTCAATTATTGTGATCTGCTGAAAGTTTCTATGAAAGAGGTATGACTACCTGTTTCCCTGAAAATAAGACAGGGTCTTATTTTCTTTTGACCCCTGAAATAAGTGCTTGGCCTTATTTTCGGGGAGGTTTTATTATTTTTGAGGTGCAGGAAGCGGCGAGTGTGGTCATCTCATGGCTGCAGCTATATTGCAACATTTTTAGGGGAGGGTTTATTTTAGTGCATGTCCTAAAGAGCCCAATTGGACTTATTATCCGGGGCGGTCTTATTTTGGGGGAAACAGGATACACTAAAAAAGCTAACATGTGTGCATGTGCATGTGTAAGTGAGTGAGTGAGAGAGAGATCAGTATCTGTTAACCTTCTTCATTTATTGCTCTTGCTCTCTTTTTCTACTACTCCATTTACCTGGTAAAGGTATTCCTGAAATTCAACTGTTCAGAGTCCAGCGTTTTCTAAGCAACTTTGCTGATCAGAAATAAACACACTTGGGTACCTTCAATTCCAAGAGTGTCCCCCCCCCCCATTTTCCCAATTTGCTGCTCCCCTCCCTCCCAGGAGCTAAGGAAGATCCACTGCCTACCTTTTCCAATCTGAGAGGATCTTCTGGTATGATTGAATCCAACACAGGAAGCTCTGGACTGAAAGTCTGGAGGTAGAAATGAAGGCAATGTTTTATGGATTAGAAACAATTTAAACAGCAAAAATACTACAAGGGCCTCTCTTGGCACAAATCAAATACTTAAACATAGGGGTGGGGGGATAAAAATAAGCTTCCTTCATGTTAGGCAAAGTGCTGTCAGTGCACTGAGACTAAAACATGATGCCCCTCAATCCTAGAAGCAGAGGCACCTTGTAAGTGAAATGGGTGGCATATGAATATAATCAATAAATAAAAAGAATCATTCTGACAGATGTCTGCTCGAGTTGCCACAGTCTTTCAGGGGAATGTTGATAAGGACCCACCTTTTATCTCCCTGGAAACGCTGCCAGAGACCTAATTGCCAATTAGTTTTTCAAGGCCAAACTTAGCACAAAGTCAAAAAGAACTTCTTAGAGCTTGAACCAACCAAATGAACTAATTGCTTCCTGCAAACGCTCGTGTCCGTTCACTCCTCTTTTATGTCTTATGGGAGGGGCCAATCATCTCCAAGTCTTACTCCCGAGTCGACCCTGCTTTCTTAATTGTTCTTGCCTTCTGGCAGCTCTGTGCATGAACACACTGGGAACAGGCTCCCACTGTTCTTGTCAGACTCCGGAGGCAGCACATAACTACCAGATGGCCTTGGCCCCCGCTGTGCCTGCGATGAAGAGCCCTCATCTGAGCCTTCCCCAGGCTCCAGGACTGGCCCAAGTTCCTCCTCAACCTCCTCACTGTCCAACTCTGCTGCCNGAACTGGTAAATACCACCTCTGGCTGGCCCCAAAGTGGGTTGGGAATGGGGATTTTGCAGTAGCCTTCCCCTGCCATGCCCACCACGCCACGCCCACAGAACTGGTAGTAAAAAAAAATGAATTTCACCACTGAATGGGAGCCTCCCTTACAGAGCCAGAGACAGGAATGACAGAAGAAACTATGGGGCCCTTGGGGGTCAAAGTGCTTGATCAAATCTCCCCCTTTACATGCCTTGCGTGACATGAGACGAGCCAGGTGGGCTTCCAGGGACAGTGAGCCCTGTTGTATGTCCAGTTGGTTCTGCAGTGGAGACTTCAGAAGACTCTAGAAGGGAAAAGCAGCAGAGTTACTGTCCTGCCCTCACGGCTTCCAGGAGCTGGGGGCACGTGGGGAGACCCTTGTGGGACGAACTGTTTTATGAACGCTTCTCCTACCACTCACTTGAAGAACAAGACAACTCAATAGGAAAAGATGGCTGCCTGTGGGGGAGGGGTAAAAGGTCAAGGTAGGGGCTGCAACCACACAACCAACGACTGGTCTCTTTGTTCCATGGGTTGTCACAAAAAGCCGTGTCTTCAATGGTGTGGCTGTGGTCATCACCTTGAGTTTATTCACCACTTCCTTTCCAAAACCCTGATCCCTGAAGAACAAAGAATTAAAGCACCCCGATTTGACTGCAAAACCCCAAAATCTGATTTTACTGATTTGTTTTCCCTTCACACCTCTCAACGATGGCCCCTCTTCAGAGGTACAGAATCCTCCTAATATGGGAGATGAGTTTTGGTATCGCTGCTCAATGCTCCGTGAGACTAGTAGCCAGACAAGGCTACACCCTCCCAAACCTTCCCTTCTTCTTTGCAGACCACAGAAAAGGTTGCCATCATATACCGAAGGATTGTCTTTCCGGCACTTTTGGAAAAGTCACCAGAGAAGGCCAGTTGGAGCAGCAGCCACTGAGCGTGGGAGTGATGAAGATGGTGGGCCTGACCTGAGAGACCCCGATTCAGACACACTTGGAGCCAGAGAATTTCCATGGATGATTTGGGGCCTCTTAAACTAAACCTCCTTCGCTGCTTCCTGTTATAAAGAAAAAAAAGGAAGACGGAGCTATGCCTGTTGCTTGAACTCCAGGTGGGAACCTCCAGACCTAAAGGTATAAACAAACCCTGACTCTGAACTGATGCTTCCATGTCAGAGGTGGTATGCTGCCGGTTTGCACTGGTTTGGGCAAACCAGTAGTGGCGGCGGCGCGAGGCTCCGCTCACCAATGCAGACGTCATCACGGTTCTGCACATGCCCAGACTTGCTGCGCACATGCAAAGCAAGCATGTAGGCACATATGTTCCCGCTACCAAACTGGTAGTGAAGATAGTAGGAAGCCATGACTGTTGCATGTATGCCTGAACTTGTAGCACCAGTAGGAAAACAAAGAAGGGTTGAAAAGTGACAGGTGGTTTACACAAAATAGCAAGTCCCAAAGGTGCTTTTTCCAGAGGCAACTGGACTTTTTGGTTTTTCTTTGAAGAGGTTTCACTTCTCAGCAAAGAGGCGAAACATCTTCAAAGAAAAACCAGAAAGTCCAGTTGCCTCTGGAAAAAGCACCTTTGGGACAACCAGGACCTGAATGATGGAGAATCTCCATGGGCGCAAAATAGAAAGGCACAATGTGCTTTGCTTGCTTTTGGTTCAGCCCCTGGCTGAACTCAGCTGTTACAACGTACAAACCATGCTTTAGGTCTTAGCATGTGACGTCAACCAAGCTGGTGATGCTTTGCTCAATAATTCGTGGTGAAGCAAATCCTGGACAGATGTGTGAATCTAGCCCAAGTGTGCTTCCACTATAGGTAGTCCTTGACTTACAACCACAGTTGGGACCACCATTTCTGTTGCCAAGCAAGGTGATTGTTAAGTGTGCCATGCCTGGATCTATAACCATGTTTGCCATGGTTGTTAAACTTGGCTTTCCCCATTGACTTTGCTAGTCAGAAGCTAGCTGGGAAGGTTGCAAATGGTGATCATGTGACCCCCAAGACAGCACAATCATCGTAAGCCCTTGCTGGTTGCCAACCGCCCAGATTTTGCTCACATGACCATTCTGTGGCAGACACTTTTTTCCAGTGTCACTGCAATTGTAATTTTTGAACGGTCATTAAATGGCAACAGCCCTTAGACTTATATCCCGCTTCACAGTGCTTTACAGCCCTCTCTAAGCAGTTTACAGAGTCAGCATATTGCCCCCAACAACTTGGGTCTTCATTTTACCCACCTCGGAAGGATGAAAGGCCAGGTCAACCTTGAGCTGGTCAGGATTGAACTGCTGGCAATGGGCAGAGTTAGCCTGTAATATTGCATTCTCACCGTTGGGAAGGGAGGGGGAATAGGAAGGAAAGGGAGGGAAGAGAGGGACTTGAACTGCCAAACTGCTGGCAATCAGCAGTCAGCAGAAGTAGCCTGCAGTACTGCACTCTAACCACTGCACCACTGTGGCTCCACAATGAATGGTGGTGAGTTGAGAACCACCTGTACTGCATTAATAGACAGAATTCAGAGCCTAGACCTCTTCATAAAGATGTGAGTCCTAGGAAAATATTCTCCATGGACCGTCTAACCCTGAATGTGATCCTTTACGTGACGTGGCTCTGTTGCAGTGACATCTCTAGAGCATCCTCACCTTCCACGGTCAGCTGAAAGGAGTCGCTCTGTTCCTTTTGTGCATTAATTTTGTTTTCTGCCGTGCAGAAGTATCTGGCGGAATCCGACAGCTGCAGGTGCTCGAATGCTAGGACTGGACCCCTCTGGAGCTCCTCAGCTTCCCCCCCAGGCACGTCCTTGTACCACTGGTAGGTGATGGGCGGAGAGCCGCTGGCTGAGCAGGTCAGACTCATCCTGGATCCTTCAGGCAAGAAAGATTCCTGGCTGCTGGCTTCAACCACCGGCTTGGATGCTGCAACTAGAGAGCAGAAGAGCTGCTAAGGTTTCTCAGTGCACCTGTAGCAATTCAGAGCTAAACAAAGGAGGAATTACAAGTTGATCGACCAAAGTGAAATATGGCTCCCGGGCAGGGGTGGCCCTCAAAAGTTTTAGCAAGGGGTTCTCTGTCTGGTTGCTGGGTGGGTGTGGCCTAGTCAGCCCCATGCACCACAGCTGGAGGGGGTGTTTTTTGCCCTCCCCAAGCTCTGGAGGCTTTTCTCGAGTCTCCAGGAGGGCGAAAATGGCCTCCCCAGGCTCAGGAAGTCCTGTGGAGACTGAAAACAGACCCATTTCCGGCTTTCCCGAACTTCCGGTAAGCCTGTTTTGTGCCCTCTCTGAGCCTCCACACACACCCTGCACTTACTTGCATCCAAAACAGTCCGCAAAGTGGGGTGGGCAGGGCCAGCCAGGAATGAGAGACGGGGGTTCTCCAAACTGCACAGAATCTTAGCTAGAGGTTATCCCGAACCCCTGCAAACCGCACGTAGCCCACCCCTGCTCCCGGGCCTTATTAATCCAAAGAGAAGCTGAGAGTCTTTTCTGACTCCAGGTACCACTTTCTTTCTACATGGAAAATAAAAAAGTATGAATATTCCAAGCAGAGCTGTGCTGCTTCTGTTACTGATGAGGAGTCAGCTTCCTGATTAGGATGCGTCCTTCTCTCACCTAAATTCTGCCCGTAGCTTTGAAGTTCTTGAGAAGGAACACAGCAGAAAAGAAAGAATGAACTCAAAAGGCGGTGCTATAAAATGAGGCAAAAGACCTTGCAGGTTTTTGTGTGAGGGTCTCAGGATGCCCTGCAGCCCAACTGCCTGATTACCTTTTACCACCTGGAGCTGGATGGTTTTTTCTCCCCTGATTGTGTTCCTGTTTTGGTCTTCCAACTCTACTATGCAGACAAATGAACCCCTATCGGTCATTTCAAGTGCCTTGATGTGGAGAGACACATCCCCGGGGGGGTTCCCGGCAACGTTGACTCGGTCTCGAAAAGCGGTCAAGAAGATGTGGTCCCCGGAGGCATCGTGGAGCAAGATGGTCCTAGGAGTTTGGCCCTGCACGGAGAACTTCCAGGTCACCGTGAGCTGCTTGAAGTCAGAGGAGGATTGGTACAGGCAGGGCAAAGTGGCAGGAGCTCTCCAGATCCCATCGACCGAGTGGCTGCCGTTCAAATGCAGGACAGCTGGAGGAGGAGGGGGAACAGAAGCAGAAGATTTAGATGCAGACACCAGAAAGTAAATGCAATGTCCTCAGGAGAAGAAGGGCTGGGGGTGAAGACTATTATTGTCTCATTCAAAGTATTGTGAACCACGTTAAAGGGGGAGAAATTTATCAGACAAGGATGGTCTTCTCCGCACATTTTAGCTCACTGATCCTCAAACTACAGCCCGTGGGCCGGATATGGCCCATCAATGCAAAGTATCCGGCCTGTGGAGTGGTGGGATTCAGCCTTGCCCCTCACCGTTGTCCTTATCTTCCAGCGAGCATCCACTGCAACTGCACTTCTGGTTGGTTATTTCACCAGTTGAGCGGCACTTCTAATCACACTGCTGCTGCCGAAGATAAGGTCAAAGGATGAAGGGGAGGGCCAGCTGACTGAGGGGGGATCTCGCCAGTGCGGTCACGTGATCCAGGGCCAGTGGGTGAGTAGGGGTGGGGCTGCTTCTGGCTTGAAAAACAACTCTTCTGTCAGCTTGTAAAGTAGTGCTTTAAAAGTCTTTAAAATGTTTTAAAATGCTTAAAAACAGCCTTTCAGGATGTTGTTCATAGCCATTGTCAGGCCTGCAGCCACCTTTTCTTTTGGATCTTTGGCCTGCCACACTTTCTATTATTCTGCTATGAATTTTCTATTGTAGGAAATTGGGAGGGGGGATTGTAAGGAGTTACATACTATGTAGCCATAACAAAATCCTTTCTAGAAAGCCAAGGTTATCGTTTGTCTTTGCACCTCTGCAACTGACCAGAATTGGATGAGTGGAACTGCCAGCATGGCAGTGGGAGATTGGACCGTGTG